AGAGAGAGAGAGAGAGAGAGAGAGAGAGAGGCTGTTGGTTTATCTGGTGACTACAAGACTACAGTTGTACACACTTCACTTTTCATTTTTTAGAGAAAGCTAGAGACACACTCAAAACAATCATTTGCTCTGTGTCCGGTAACAGCGCAACTTCAGGTCGACTATTAAGCTCTTTCATGTCACAAATACAATGTCAGTGGCTCCGCACAGCTTAGTGTTGACCACACACACATATACATGGATTTGCCACCATTAATATTGACCATTTTGACCATTTTTCGAGTATAGCAGGGAGGAAAAACAATTGCTCAATAGACCTCATCAGGATATTCATTCAGGATAAGCTTTCAGAGACATCCAAGAATCATGCCTTACATTGAATTTCATTGGAAAGGGTTGGAGGGTAAATGCTTAAATTTTGTGCGATTATCGGTATGTGTGTACCCTTCTTCACGGTTTTGTCCCTACAGGTCCAGCATCCAACACTCTACCTCCTGTCTTCGGACCCAAAACTGTCAATATAAGAGCAGCACCTGCACACTCGCTCTACGGTCGCAGTAAAAATGGCAAATTCATGGAGGACTACACAAAGGTAGAAATGTTGTCTGAAACACTTACGGCACACCGAGCGATGCAGCCAATCACAAACTATTCACTCAGACTTACACCCGCACACCTGGCGATTGTCCGTTGCATACATACCATCTTACTGCAATCGAAAAACTGCCTTCCCTGCTGTTCTGTTCGACAAACAAGGTTTTGAGGTGACAAAACTATCCTGCGCTCTAATAACTAAACTAACTAAACTACATCATGTGTTTGGCAAGGAAAAAGCAGATTTCCCTGGCCACTGTAGCGACACTATAATGCTCCAAAGAGAGGCAATGAGTGAGAAGGAAGGTGAGAGTGCCAGCACTCTTGCGTTTCTTAAACAGGGCCATTAAAAATGGCATGAAAATATTAAAGTTTGTAGTTGTGACAAATAATCAAAGAGAACACATAGCCCGGGTCACCAAAATAACAGGGAGAGCAACACTAAGCTAGCATTAGCACTGTAAAATGAACCAGCATTAACCACGGTTGTTATATTGCTAGCATGACTCATTCTCAGAGGTGAGCATTTCCACCTGACCCGTCAGGACAAGTTATTGACACCTTGTCACTCACGCTTTCTACCTCTAATTTATTTTTCATCAAATGACAAACTGCCTTTTTAACCACTTGTTGTACTTTCTCTTTCAGTCTCCAGGCCCTGCAGCCTACCAAGCTGTGGATCCCCAAATTTATCTAAACAAATCCCCTCAGTACAGCATGCCAGGGCGCAAGTTCATGCCTCAAAGCGCGACAAGGACGCCAGCGCCTGGAGTCTACTGTCCTGAGAAGGTGGGGGACATTTTGCTTCCTAATGGTGCCAATTAGGCTTTTTTTTCCCACAATGAAAAACAGTTCGCATGTGTCTTAATACCTTGTTTTCCAACTTTTATTGATTCAAGGCAAATATTTTAGTGATCCAAAACAAAATCTCAAAGCACACCACACTAAATGGTCACAAAAGGTAGACCTGCTAAAATTAAATGCCACCGATGAGTGTCGCTCAAGTATGTTGTTCAACACAAAGGTGCGGAAAAGTTTCTCTCTCCCAGCTTGTCTGTTAAATTCACGTTTGTAAACCACTGGAGTGGCTAACAGACTCCTGAAGATGGTGGCTCTATTGACGAACACAAAAGTCACCACAACTGTTGGACTGGTTAACATTATAGTAGACTCATGAAGTCGATACGACGACTCCAGAATACGATGCAATCCGTTTATTTTCAATATTTAAAAACACGTCATAGCACTGGCTTGCTTCGTACGGCTCAAGGCCAAAGACTGTTTGCTTCCCAATCCCAATCAGCCACACCTGTACTGGTGAGCTCACCGATATGTGTTGAGGGCCGACACCAAAAACTCCCAGTGTTCATATAGTGAAATTACAATAATAAAACACCATTACCATCATGGCTGCAACAGTGGCGCCACGTCACTTGGACTTGTGCCAAAGTCACTGTTCTGCTTGATTGTCAAAAAGTTATTTTTTTTTTAAACCAATTCAGTTCTCTGCTGATTACCAAAGAATGAACAAAGATAGAAACCATCTTATTTTTAGTGGAAGAAGAGTTTACTCTTTTGGTTGGTTTGGTGTTTCTATTGTGGGTCCCGAAACATCAGTGAAATTGCGCTACAAATGGTTGGCAAAATAGGAAACTCCTCTTTGAAAACAGATGATAATGAATGACTTAATAACAGGTCTCTGACATTTGGATAAATAATTATATACTGTAACACTTAATATCCTTATGTTCAACTTTTTATTTTTTTGATGTGTGCTGACTGATGCAGAGTACAGATTACGTTACCATGACAACCGGTCGAGCAGTTTGGGCATGGAACAAAGATAGCGGCTAACTCAGTGTTACCAACTTGATGGCTTTTCCGACCACTCTTATAGCTTTTGTTTAAATACGCAATGAGCAACAAATCTAGTGACTTTGTGGCGTTATTAGAAACACTGAGACTCCCTTGAAGAGAAGATCTTTACCACGTACAAACTGCAAGTGAATGCCACACGTGCAAAGCTGGCCAATTTTACCATGCAGCGAGATTTATTTATTTGTTTATGAACTGTATTTATTTTTCATTTCACACTTGATAGAAGCAGGCACTCCATTGATTATTTATAGACAAGCAATTATTAAGTCAATTTGTGGATGATAAAGCTGTGTGCTGTTATTTTTGTCCAGGTCACCACAACACACACCAAAGCGCCAGCCTTCACCTTTGGACTGCGTCACTCGCAATACACCATATGCCCCATCATGGATGCGGATAAATACCAACAGTCATTTTCCTTCCTTTGAGCTGGACACTTCAACACAGCGGCATCAGAAGAAGCAAAGCGGTCAAAGTCAACGGATGACATTTGTTGATGAGATCTCACAGTTCAGCGTTTGCAGTACTTTGTCTCGTCTGTGAATGTGGCTCATCACATCCTACTGTGGCTTCTCAGTTCAGGCCAACTAAACGTCCCCTTGAATGCACCCTGCAGGTGGCACTTGTGATCTCATTGGTGTCAGGGAATTTAACTTCATTGTGTTCTACAATATTTTTTTAATAAAAACAAAATAACAATGAAACTATTTTTTTTTTTAATTTGTAGTACAGTGCGGTTACAGTAAGATGAAAATTCATTCAGTGGCTAGTTATTTTTATTAGCCAAATTAAGAACATGAGTGAAAACAACAAAGTCTTCCATTTTGTCATTTCACGTTAAAATACATCCATTCCACCATACAAAGTCACTTACATTCTAAACTTGGCCAGTCTAGTAGTCATTTCGGGCTTATTGTATGTGCACTGAGTTAACCTAAATGATGTCCTTGTATACTGGATTGTACACATAAAAAATGTAAACTATTTTGTAGATACCACATCTTGAGATTTATATATGTTTTGGTGAATCATGTGGCGAATGCTAAATAAAAAATGACATTTCAAATGAGTCCAGGTAGCGCTGACGTCATTTTAGGACATCTCTGACAGGCACATGCTGAGACAGCACATACATCCGTAGACTTGAGCTCCTACACTATTTTTGTTTTATTTTGTACGTGCCTTATTTGGTGATAATTTTTAGCCAAAGTAGTGTTTTATTACTAACACATTAAACAGTCAGGTTATGAAATGTAGTGGAATTTAACAAGTGCATGTTTCATTCAACGCTGGCCTTAATAGGACATGTGAAGCTCCTAAGTACAGTATGTAAAATTTTGTGTTATCTGAAACAAATGAAAAATATTTTCCCTTTTGGGGATTTCGGCAACCTTGCTAAGCGATCACGTCTGTGTATTATATAACTTTTTTTTTCCTGATTGTGTGACGTATGACGTACAGCTGTGTGTTGCCAGGCAGAAATTGGGGTCTCCTAATGTGTACCATTAATTTAAATTAAAACTATATATAAATAAATATTGCAGAGGTTCAGGGATCGACTCCGGTTTCGGCCCTCCTGTGTGGAGTTTGCATGTTCTCTCCATGCCTGTGTTGTTTTTCTCCAGGTACACCAGTTTCCTCCCATATTCCAAAAACACGCATGTAATGTTAATGGAATGTTCTAATTTGTCCCTAGGTGTGATTGTGAGCATGAATGGTTGTTCGTCTATGTATGTATTGGGAATTTCTCCATTTTGAGACAAAGGTATTTCTTATCTCTTATTTTATCTTATGCCCTGAGATTGGCGACCAATTTGGGATGTACCCGCCGACTGCCCAAAACAGATGGGATAGGCTCCCGCGACACTAGAGAGGATAAGCGGATAGAGAATGGATGGATGGCTGAATCTGTCGGTGACAGTTGACAATCATAATTGTTCCTGCTTATATTGGATAAAACTGTGCATTTTATTTCGTGAAACCCTGAGAGTGGATGTTATCGTGAAAAAAAATTACGTCTTAGAGTATGTTACAAGAATGCGAATGATTTCTGTGTAAGCATATGGCCACCCCTCTGTGAGGTACAGTTTTGCGTTACCTGCCTGCCCAACTGAAAATTTTCTGTCTCCGCCCCTGACTTCATTAGTGTACCGGTACTTGAGATTTTTCAGGTAGAATTCTTGAGTGCTGTGTTTATTTTTCTGGCGACTTTTACTTTTTATTCTTCCTCCATACATTTGAAAACGGACATTTGTATTTTCTACTACTAGCACTCCAACTGAATTAAAAAAAATGTGGCTGCAATGGTCCGCAAGAACACAAAACGTCATTAATTTAAAAATAAGCACGAGTCAATACAAGTAACGTTGTTTTTGTTGTCATCATAGCGCCATCTGCTGAATATTTCCGGAGTAAAACTCGTCCCCTGTCCCCCGTGGAGCAACAGCCCGGTCGCCATGACGTCATTGCTACTCACAGCATGTTTATGTGCTCTGTGTTTCGCGCACACGCCACCCTAATCCAAAATACATCATCACTTTTGGCCTCTAATGATGTCGAACGCAAGGGGCGGCGTCAGGATGCATGAATTGCACGATAGCATTTGGTTTGGTTAGCATGTGATAGCATTCGGCGTGTTCCAATTTCACCGGAAGTCAAAGAGCGCCCGTGACAGGTTAGTTGCATGCTCAAAAGTGTTTCACGTTGTATATTTGCTACATTAAACGTTGCTCTAAATTACTTTACTAGCTGTTTAGAATTGTATGAAATTATCACAGTTATGAGCCAACGATCTCTGAAGTGTTAATTAATACAAATAATTGAAACATTATCATATCTATTAGTAATTAACACGCCTAAATAAACACACCAATGAACATATAGAAATATTTGTATTTAACTCCAGTGAGTTTAATTTCATTAGAAAGGGAACCAGTTTTTTCAAGCATTTTTTAAAAAAATGTAACTGAATTCAAAATCATCCATAAAATATGTACAGTACATGTTGTAAAGCTTACATAGATAAACCTTTACTAAGATAAACTGTTGCTCATATAATATCCATCCATGTACCCATCCACCCATTCATCCATCCATCCAGCAATGCATTTAGCTGGCCTGACACAAATGGCATACGATCGTTGTGCTCATTTTAACCTAACTTTTAAATGTGTTCACACTCTTCAAATACAGTGAAAACATGTATCCTATCAGTTCATATCTACTCTTCATTTAGCTCATGCCTGGCGAAAAGCCTAATGTTGGCGGGGTGGTGGGGCCCAAAAGATCCCTGTATGCACTTCCTTCGCTCACAGGTAAAACTCACATAGTGTATTTCCTCAAGTAATGGCCTATGTCTTTATCCTTTACACAAATCAATCCCTTGCACCTGTGTTGAAAACATGCAAATTACAAAATTGAGCAAATATTAGAATGGTGTTACAGCTGTGCAGCAAGGGAAAAGTTGAATTTGACATGACTTTGCTAGGTTGTGTGCGCTTGTCTGAGTGTGTTAACTGTCGAAATGAATCGTTTTATTAAGCAACGCCCCAAAATGCAGGTCAGAAAGACACAGCACACATCAGGCAAAACTGGCCATTTCCTAGCTGCTGCTGGATTTAATTTAGCATTTTTTAAAAGTATGTAAAATTGGTATGTATCAGTTATCCTTGTAACCAAGCCCTGACTGTTTTCTGAGCAGGTTTTTTTTTTTTGGGGGGGGGGGGGGGGTTAAATCACTGTGAACACACCCCACAGTACAGGATGATCACTCTGGATAATTTTTCAGTGACATCCTTTGCTGGCTTGGATTGGAAGGAGGGGGGCGGGGGGTTTCCCCGATTTTTGGCGTCAGTTTGTGCACTCTGTTTCAGGTTTTGTGTCGTAAGGAGGAAGTTTAGCATTTACAAGCAGATTGCGGAGGGAAAATCATCCTGAATTCACTCCCATATTCACTACATCATCTTTCAGAGATATCCGAATATGTTGGTCAACAGGAAATTTTAGACAGAGATGGCTTTATGTGTACCCAAAAGTATTTTTGATGCAAATTTAAAAATGGTTTACTTTTTGGGTTTTTGAGATATATTTGTTTGTTTTTATAGTTGTTGTCGTGTTTTTTTTCTTTTTTTTTTTTACCTAGAAAAGCTTGCACAATATGGATTTTACCTTGTGTTGTAATTTATAGCTATGATTCAAGAAAAAAAATCTACCTGTACCTAAACCAAACCTTTAATTCATAAATACTAGTAAATATATTACTATATTACATACATTATGATTATTATTTTTATTATTATCATTATTTTTATCCAGCCATCCATTTTCTAATCTGCTTATCCTCACGAGGGTAGCGGGCGTGCTGGATCCATTCCAGCTGTCTTTGGGCAGTCGGCGGGGTACACTCTAAACTGGTTGCCATCCAATCGCAGGGCACACAAGAATGCTGGGAAGGTTCCAGCATGCCCGCGGCCCTCGTGAGGATAAGCGGCTTAGATAATGATTGGATGGCTGGATGGATGTTACGATTAGTGCTAACATCTGTGCCTTCCCCTCTTAACTAGGCGCGAATAACCACGATCCGACAAAATACAAAGCACCAAGTTACACTTTTGGCAAAACCTGTCACACGAGCAAACAACAAATCTCACCTGGACCTGCCCACTTTATCCCCTCCAACATCACTAAAACTGGCCGTGATGGAACACCGGCATTTTCATTTGGCAGACGCCGGAAGGAGCGGGCGCGAGAGGAAATCCCTGCACCCAGTGAGCAAAACACATAATTATTGGAGTGTTGAGATGGTGTTCAGTAAACAAGATGACAGCAATTGCATATTTTTTTGTGCTATTTTTCTAGACTGCTACCACATTGCAAATGCAGAGAAGGTCACGTTTCGTTCCTCTCCTGCTTACACGTTGTCTACAAGGTGGAAACAAGCCGTGCCAAGCTACCAGACCACACCTGGTAACATTCTACTGATAGATAATTCTTATCAGTGGCATCATATATATATGATGCCATCTGGCCGGGTGCTGAACGAAGATCGAATCCCCATCGAAGTCCTTACTGGCTCCAGAGTTCTGTAGCACTAACAATGAGGCCAAACGCCGAGGCTGACTATCTCTTGCCAGTGCCACTATTTAGGCTACTAAATAAACAGAGACACATTACTGACACTTTTTCATTTAACAAGAGTGACGTCTTCACTCGTCTCTATTGAGTAAGTATGAGGTCACCAAATTAACATGAGAATAAACTAGCAACCTATGTTAGCAAACTCACTTTTAAAAGTGCAGCGGTAAAATTTAAATAGATAAATAATAACTCCAGCAGACAGTCAACATAGCTGGACTTGCCCTTGGCCCTATCTACTACACTAAAAAGAAGCTACTGTGCATTGCAAAGTTTTAGCAAGAGTCAGATCCGCCTCAGACTGGAATTGTGTCACTATTTAGATGAACATGAACAACACAACTTTATTCATCATTAACTATATACTACTTACTCTGCTCATGAAAAAAATAGATATATTTTCAACCAATTTTATTTTATGACTTGTTTTTTGTCTTCAAGTAATGTTACCGCTGTGCATGGTGGGGCGGTGACCTTGTGCCCTCTATTTACCATCCGCCTCTGATCTTTGATACTCATACAGTGTATTCGATACATAATATTCTGCCTGTCACTGCAGGTCCAGCATCCAACATGTTGCCTCCTGTTCTGGGATCCAAAACTGTGAACATACCTGCAGTGCCTTCACACACAATCTGTGGTCGCAGCAAAATTGGCAACTTTTTTAATGATTTGGCACAGGTAGACATATATAAGACCTTATTTTATGTTTTCTTTATCCATCCTGGTTTAATTGATACGTCCTCTTGCAGACTCCGGGCCCTGCAGCCTATCAAGCTGTGGACCCCAAAACTTACCTAAGGAAATCTCCTGAGTTCAGCATGCCAGCCCGCAACTTCCTACCTACAAGCTTTACAAAGACACCAGCACCTGGAGTCTACTGCCCTGAGAAGGTAGGAGGCTTTACTCTTTTTATACTAAATGTAAAGAGAAATCGAGCAGATAGAAATGGAGACCTTCCATAAGAGCAACCGACAGAGACTCTCTCCGCGCTTTGCTCTCGAGCCACATGTACTGGTACTTATGAAAATATAAATGTAGTTAAGTATTATTGTCATTGTACTGGGCAACTATGCTAGTAGGTTAACAATACAATTTGTTGCATTGAAGTAATTGACACATACTGTTATATCAGTGTTGGATTATTTGAATGAAGGCCTTTTTTGTTCTAGGTCACAACCTCACATGTAAAAGCCCCATCCTTCAGCTTTGGAAGACATCATTCGGAAAACACCCTAATCCCCCTTACGGACTTGGATCGTTCTCAACGCTCATTAACACTTATTTAACTTCACGCTGATCAAAGGGGTAAAATACATCTTTTGGGAATGAAAAGGAGGGGCCAATTGAAAGACAAAGAATGCACCTTCCACTTGAGAGCAGCCATTACCAAACACTTTATGCCACACACACTGTCTCAACATCCTCATAGGGATGGCACACCCTCAGAAACAGTGGAAAAAAGGCCAATCATGATAATAGCAACCACAAAATAGATCGATTTTGTTATTTGGGTTTCATATTTTGCATTCATTTTAGTGTTTGTCCTCATGAGGGTCTAGGTTGAGCTGGAGCCTATCTCATCTGACTTTGGGAGAGAGGCAGGGCCTGTAGTGGTCGCCAGCCAATTGCAGGGCATATACTGACACCACCCCCCCCCCCTTCCAAAAAAGTCACCCAAAGTATGGACAATCTCGATTCATCAATGGACCTAAAATGCATGTTTCTAGAATGTTGTAGAAAGCCGTAGTGCCTGAAGAAAATTCATGCAAGCATGGGAAACATGCAAACTCCACACAGGGAGGCGTGAGTCTGGGTTTCCGTCCAGAACTCCAGAACTGAGGCAGACATGCTAACTACAAGGTCACCATGTTTTGTACTGTATTTTTTTTTTAATCAAAGTCGTTTTGTGTTATTAAAAAAAAAAAAAACTTCTATGTTGAGAAAGAAAATTACACACCACACTGCAATTTTAATGTTGTACCTGTTTTGTGAATCTGCTCTAGAATATTTTGCAATAAAAGAATATAAGGATATTCTGTGCATTTGAGTTTTTTCAAAACCATTGTTTGGCATAGTGCCAAAATCTTGAGAAAACCATAATTTCTGTAAAAACACTATCCAAAAGTAATAATTTCGTATAAATCAATATATAACCACCCAGATTGTATTGCAAACACAAAACTTTAAATCAAATGCGAAATGACAACAATGGAGTAAGTCCATTCGAGGCACTTATTCCTTTAGTTCCACTTGTGGTTTGATGTATGTCGCATCTTGTTGCAAAGATAAGTTGCGTAAGAACAACAAAATACAAAATCAAATTAGATCTATGAAAAATAACTGATCTAAAAATGTGACGAATGTGGTTTAATAGTGCAATACAAAATTGAAGTCATTTCTTAAAACTATGCGAATTTGCAAACACGATTAAAAAACATTTTAATCAAAACGTTTACTGCTAAAGGCTCAGAAAAAACGCTGCTAAGGTAACAGTAATACCGCGTCAAAGAACTTTCTGACAGGCATTAGTTAGGACAGCCAAGTCGAAGAAGAGGTCCTTTGGGCGTCCCCGTTGCATAGAAACACAAACCGCCAATCCGGATTTGTACGTTTATAAACGGAAAGATAATAAACGTGTTACATTTATACAGCGATAGAGTTGACTACACAAGATATAAATGCATACAGATATATACGTTATAAATAGTCGCAAGGTGGTTGTAAAATGAAACTTAATATACGCCGTAATTCGTTTATTCGCCTCGATCGGCCAGTTAGCAAATCAGGGTGCACAATTACGTATAAAATCCACTCGTTTTATTTCGACAACATGTTTCTCAGCTGCAGTAGTTCGACTCGTCGGTTTGATTTCTCTTAAACCGACAACTAACCAATCAAATGCCCAGAGGCGAAAAATAACGCACACACGTTGATACGTCTCTGCTAACAAGCCGACAGACGCGGTGAGCCACTCTTCGTTAACTTGGGAAGCTATTTCGCAATGTCGAAATCGTTTTAATTTGAAGCGGAGACTAATAAAAACAATCTAGGAGGTGGACGAGGAGGTTAGGAAATGGCTGCTGAAGATGATGATAACAAAATCCCCGAGTTGGACCAAAAGAAGTACGATGCGGACGAACAAGTGAAGATCATCTGTCTGGGAGACAGTGCCGTCGGTAAATCCAAGTAAGTTGTCAAAAAGCAATTGTGTCATGTGAACTTGTTGCTTTGAAACATTTCTTCTCTTCTTCAGGCTGATGGAGAGGTTTCTCCTGGACGAATAGTATCCTTTGTGGAGGTACAACCACTACATGGACAAACGTATTGGGCTACCAACACATTACATCGCCATGTGACATTCCATAGGGAATGATATTTCCAGTACCACGATGCCCCTGTGAAGCTACAATTGCTTCCAAACGTGTAGTAATGACCAACACCACACATAACCGTATCGTTTGCCAAATAGCATAACGTAAAACAAGAAAAAAAAGTACTGATCCAACCCCTGCCTTTGTCTAATAACCTATTGCTACTACTATTAGATTGCACTATCCAAAGCAGAGGTGGTAAAAGTACTGACAATCTATACTTTACAAGTTTTCTGGATTCTGCAGTATTGTACTCCACGGTCTGCGCTTTACTGCAGCAGCCATCAGTTGCCAGTTCTGCAACTATGTTCCCTATTAAAACAAGGCAAGCCGACTCGCTATTCATTCTGGGGAAAATTACTTAATTATTCCTTAATTCCACCTTCAGTCGCCCACAACAGTTGTCAACGTACGCTTTGACACTCTACAAACATACAGCCACTCTGGCCAATAGGACCGTAGCAGTGGGTATGTGCCACACACACACACTCAGACACACACACCAGGGCTATAAACTGAGACCAATTTGGGTGCCCAGGCGAACAATTTCTCAACGGTACTCCTAAAGATAAAAAATAAGAGGTTTCACCTGTGTGACCAGCCTTTACAGGGGTGGGCAAGGAAAGGCGAGGAAAGCCGTGATGTGACTCTGAAAGCCTCCATTAGGTTCAAGCATTTAAAAAAAAAAAAAAAAAAACAACCATGTTGTTTATCATTATAGTTTTCAGGAAAATATATCGTTCTAAAAACTGTTATCTTGACAGGCCTAGGGTTGAAATCGCTGCAGGTCTTGAGATAAGGATAATGGCCAATTTCTTGAATGTTAAGACCCATATGTTAAAAAGTCATAGCCAACATTGACACAAAACACTTGAAGCACCAATACTTTTGAGTTCGTTACCTATCTTATGAAATTGTGATTAAAATATAGCACTTCATGATGACCAGATTGTTTGTTAATCATTTACCAGTCAATATTGCTTGAAAAGACATGTCGCATTGGTTTAAAAAAAAAAAAAAAGCATATAAACTATAAAACTGCAGTATTGAATGTGATGGTGTTGCAAGTTTGAGTGCAGCTAACATTTGTGCTGATGCAACAAAGAAAACATTTTGGGCATACAACTGCAACCAGTGTAAGAAACTAGAACTCTGCTCACACCCACTTTGTGTCACCCTTCCTGGTCTCAGCAGGTTGTAGTTAATGTTGTCCTGATCAACAGATTTCTGGGACACGGCTGGTCAGGAGAGATTTCAGAGCATGCACCCCTCATACTACCACAAAGCACACGCTTGCATCATGGTAAGACTCATGCATGGTGAGCATCATTTAACATACACTTCAACAACATACACTTGTATGTTGTTAAAATGTGACTTAAAACAATGACTGCGCACCTTGGCTGGATTTACACTGCAGGTCAAAGCCCAATTCCTGTTCATTTCAAATATCATCTCTTTTGGCTTGTTCCACACGTAAGGTTTTCGACATCCAGAGGAAAATCACCTACAAAAACTTGGCCAACTGGTACAAGGAGCTGAGAGAATATAGACCCGAGATCCCCTGTTGTGTGGTGGCCAACAAGATCGATGGTGGGCATCCATTGTTTTCCAGCTCCACGTAACTAACAATGACAATGACAACAACAGCTCAGCCCAGTTTCTTACCATCTGCAGCTGACATGAAGGTGACGCAACGGAGTTTCAACTTTGCCAAGAAGAAAGGACTCCCTTTTTACTTTGTATCTGCAGCCGATGGCACGAACGTCGTTAAGGTATGAGGTCTTGTCTTCTTTATTTTTTTGATGCCAGCGGTCCCATCTGGGGGCACCCATTTTCACCGTTGGTCACACAATTTCAAGTACACGTTTTCTTGCATGTAGCCATTTTCTTTACTCCCGATATGTTCCCGGTTTGAGGTTGGCCTTTTTGCAATGTACAATCAATTAAAAAGTAAGAGTCGGTCAATTACCTGATTACTCAATGGGGACAGTCACGTTGGCGCCGGCGATGCAGCCATCCATACCTCAAATCACAACTTTATGTCCCGGGACATGAAGGAGAGGGCTTTCCATTTCCTTATTTTTAACTTTCATTGTTAACCCAAGGTAATTAACTGTCCAAGAAGCTCTAATACTCTTCTTTGCGAGACGATGCCTTCTGTCTCTTCAGTCTCTTCACTCTGTGATTGGCAAGTTTTATTCCTGCCCCGTGACAAGTTCAGAAATAATTATTAAAAATTAAATTAGAGGCCAGGAGAAGATGGGGCCAGAGAGGGATAATTGCCCTCAAAAAACATTGTCATAATATTCTAATGTCAGGTCATACAGATAATACATAATAAAGTGTGTTTCACAGCACTTTATTAACGTACTGGGGGGGGGGGGGTAAAAAAACAAAACCAAACAAAATCAGGATTGTACATATTAAATAAGGCCAACAAACGAGACACTTAACTCAGTAGACTGAGCATGCAAAATGTAAAAATGGCCACCCTTGACTGAATGTATTACAATGGGCTGACTGTCCCTTTTCATCCACAACATATAAAAAAATACTCCAGAGTCAAAATTACGCTTCATCTTTCTTCTTGTACTGTTTGACTATTTTAGTCGCGTGCTTACAAAAAACAAATAAAAAATCCAAAATACACCAAGTGAGCGTACTTACGGTCCAGTTGCTTGAACCGAGTAGTGTGGAGACGATTCCAGGCTGCTCCAATTGCCCAGCAGGAATGTTGGCTACTTTGATTTTTAACTTGTCCTGACAGATGTTTCGAGAGATGATCAAGCGAGCCGTGGAATACAAGCAAAACCCCAGTGACTTCGTGGATGAAGTCATGCAAGAACTGGAGGTAAGTTGACCAACCGCGACACCTTTCTTTTGTGTTGTTAAAACACAGGCAAGCTGTCCTGTTATTTTGTACATATCAGGTAAGATCATTTGACAAAAATTCCCAAGATTTTTCCAGATTTTTCGATGGAAACATCAGTCACAAGTACAGTGCAGTGGAGTCAGTCCTCTTTGAAGACGAACTCGATCGATGAGATTTTACCACCTGAAAATGTGCCACAAGGTGGTGCTGCACTGCCTTATACAGTACCAAGGGATTGATCCTTCTTATGTGTCATGGTCGACGTCGTTTCACACGGCTTTTGCGAAGCTGAGTTTTATGCCCTAACTTTGATGCTGGAGCTTCAGTACAAAGTGTGGCATTTTGGAAAATGAGCAAAAAGCAAAGATGTCCTCGGTTTTGGTGGTTTTGGGATTAGAAACGAGACGGTGCATTCAGTTTCCGTCATTCTTACAGATTTTCACAGGATTGTTATTTATTTTTTTAGTAGCCTCGAGTGTTTTTCATACGAATATCTATTATTTAGCATACTTTGTGGTCGACTATGGCACATTTCCGACAAATTTAGCTAACATCGCCGCCGTGGTAATGGAACTCTTAGGTAAACTGAGGACCCCCTGTAGATGATTAACAAAATATATTTTTAACGTGAATGTTCTGAAATCACCCTGCCGGTTTGTATTTATTTTGGGGGGAAAAAAAGTATGCGGAAAGAATTTATTTGTATTATTTGTATTTCACCGCAGTGATGATAATGTGTCTTTTGTAGAAGTTTGAGCTTGAGGAGAACGAAGCTCATTCGGACGCTGAAGGCGGTGACGTCAAGAGGGAGGAGAGCCCAGAGTTGCCCTGACCAAAGTCCTCACGTATCCATCCTCCCCTGTGCTAAAGATGATACATTTAATGACCTCTGCTGCATGACATTTCAAATTCGAATTTGTGCTGTGTTGTTGGTGGTCTCCCGTTGATCAGGGTCTTCGGTTGACGATGGCGTTCCGAATTCCCTCGCAAGTCGGAAAACGCGTCATTGTCAGTCACAGGTGGACACTATTGCAGCAAACACGGTGGTCACTGCGATTGGAATCTCATGAGGCGTGACCATTTATTTTTACACCACTGCGCAAACTAGTTCGTGTGCCATTCGAAGGCTCGAAACCTTCCATGTGGGACCTTACTAAACCGAAGACCCTTTGGAATTTGTACCCTGTTTACCTGTTGGAAAAATTGAGACGGTGCGTTGTTTACTTGCTTCTTATTTGAAGAATAGGTTGAATGTTTGTTTTGGAGCTTAGTCATTATCATGTTACTAAAGATGCAACATTTCAGGAATTTTCAAAGTTGGAAATGTTCCCTGGGAATTAAGGAAGATTTATGGGAATAAGACAGAAATTAATCAAATAAAAGGTTGACTCTTCCTATGGAACGTAAATATACTGGTAGTTATAGGGAAAAGCATCCATCCATTTTCTGAGAGGTGCGTTGTACCCTGTACATGTCACCAGCCAATCTCAGGGCACTTCTACATATATTTTAGCATAATCCTGATAAAAGCAAACCCGATTTCATGGACGTAAAGTATAGTGGTACATTTATTTGTGAGTGTGCCGACCGCAGAGTTTTTCAAGTTAGAAACTTGCACATTGTTCATTTTATGCGTTATATTGCAAACCAATATTTGAGGTCTGAGCCACCTAAAGAAATGTGCCCCCTCAGGTGAACAATTAAGCTGCTGTTATGCAACACACTTGAATATTTTCCAAAATACACCATTTGTCAGGGATGTTTTCCACAGAAAGCTCCCAATACGTTATATAAATCTTAGGTAATCATCATGGATGGTCATTGAGTGAACTCTAAGAGACATAGGCTATGATTATTAAGACAAAAAAAAAACATGCCTATTCTGGGACGAGTGGAACAGCCTAAAGCCACAAAGCAAACTATTTTGCCAAAGATCCACTTTGAAAAGGCTACAAAAAAGTGACCAAAGCTCCCGCGGGCCAATACAATAAACACGGCTAAAATTAAGGTGTCCATAAATTATGTTACGTGGGTGTGATAACTGAGCAAAAATATTGCGGTATCATAGCACTCAGGCACTCAGCACATGTTCACACTGCAACTCAATTCCGATTTTTTTTCCCCACACCATATGCGAAACCTGTCTTGATTTTTTTTTTTTAATGCAGTGTGAACAACACAATAAATATTTTTTCAAATCTGACCCTGGCCTCTTTTGTATGTGGATATAAATCAAGTATGCAAGCAAAGCAAAATATGCGCTCTGCGTGGGCGGGAGAAGGTGGTACTGACAATCTGCATTGTTTTGAGTAGCAGTGTCTTTACATTTGACTTAATCTCACTTGAAACATGAAGCATAAAGTGGACATTTGTGGGCATAGTAGTAATTTAGACATGCACACAGTTAATTTATTACTCGTAGCAATGACGTGATGTCATCTTTCGTAAACATCCCCATGAGCTAGAGCACAGGTGTCAAAGTCAAGGCCCGAGGGCCAGATCTGGCCCTCCACATCATTTTATGTGGCCTGCGGGAGCAAATCAATTTTCATGATCCTTGCTGAAATCTCTACCGAAGTGTCAGATTGTCATGGGTAATAAATAACGTTGAGATTTTGCATCGGCCCTCCGAGAGAGGCCGTAACTCCCGAGTGGCCCGGAACAAAAAATGAGTTTGACACCCCTGAGCTAGAGGAACGTCGCCCCATACCCCCAAAATATTTGTACCTCTTCCTGCTTCGCAACTCTGGCGATATGAGAGGATAAAATGAGCCGCATCCTGTGGGACCACATTGATTTTTGTAAACACTGCACCACATGACGGCTTTTTTTTTTATTTTTTTTTTTATGCACGTCACTCGACGATGTGCTTTGTGCCCTTGCATGTCACATCACGGGCGCTTTGTGTTCACATTAGAATTCACATTTGTTTTTGATATGTGAATGAGTACATAAAAAGATCGAATGTATAAAATGTCCAAATTGGGCATCACGGCCTGCAGTGAGAACGTAGCCTCGGATTTTTGCTCGTAACTCAAGACAACGGGCAAAGGGATGACTCATATCTCAAAACATGATAAATCTAGGCATTTGTATCTCAAAGCACCACCATACCTGTGGGACACACCCTTCAAATTCTCCAATTTAAATTCCCATGGACTTTTCCTGATGTTTTCCACCCCTTAGCAACCATACACATCATGTGATAGAATGTGAAGCAGTTCCTTGTTGATGTTGCATTTGGTGTTGTTCTATCGCATGCAAGGAGGCCCGAGTTGCTACATTAGTTTCAGGCCGCGCAGCCCGTTTGCCAGCAGCAGCAGCCTTTAGATAAAAACTCAATGTAGCGTGTAATAAAAAAAAAGCGACAATTTCTTGAGCAGCAATTTACACGAGTCATCAGCATTGTCACTTTCAGACTGGAAGACAAAGAATTTAACCCTTTTTATTTCAAACAGTGTCAATAAGCTGTGTAAGTGTTGTCAATTGTGAATAAATGTACCGAAGCACTGACTTTGCAGTTCATGTTTTAATTATAAATGTATTACATCATATAACAAAAGTTATCTCTCGCGGTGGCGATATCACCCGCAACGTCTCGGAACCGTCGCGGCCTCCTTCGCCGTGTGCCCGCTTTGTTTGTTTTATATTTGAGCGGGGGCTGATGATGTTGTTTTGCCAACAGTGCCGCGTGACAAGGCTGAGACGTTGCAAGGGACAACGTCCACCATTGAAAAACTTCACAGTGCAAACAAGGAAAGGAAGAAAAAAAAACTGACAGTGAAAAGAAAATGAAAACTCTTCCATGATAAGATCAGTGGGTGACCAGACCTCCGACGGGCTTTTTTAAAAGGTCACAGCGCACCTTCTCTATGTAGATTGTGCTTTGTTGATTAGAAAAGAAGACAACGATAACCCCCTCACTTCGATTGTTTTAGCCCCAAATGATGTGTCACAAGTGTGTGTCCTCAAAACAATTCCATGTACATATACTGCAAATAATACTTTAGTCCATAAGGTCAAAATGGAAAAAGCAAGGGTCAAAAAGTAGATAAAACACAGGCCCGTACTTATGTATATACACACACGTAGGCATTATAAAGCCTGTCTCTGCACTTTTGAAAGTGATAGACACAGTCCAGTAGTCATGACCGCATGTTCTGTGTGGTGGTCAAGTGAGTAGCGAGCTATCAAATATCAAATGCAATTCTCAAGATTTTCAGGAGATGGCACCATAATTATTGAGTCTGAACAGCTCCAAAATTGCTGCAACTAAGAGAGTCCTAAAGACTTAAACACGTACACGTAAAAGTTACTCTTTATTTATTTTTTTTAATGTTTTTTTTCTTTTTTTTTGGCACATATTTCTTTTTGTGTTTGTCCCATATTAGATCAACTCAAAGCGGAGGTGTCATGAAGGGCACATGGGAAAGGTGAACAAAGCAATGAAATCAATCAGCTAAAAGGTGGATTCCATTCACAATGCCAAACGTACTGTGACATTTGTTCTCGATATAATCAGGCGCACTATTTGGACAAACGTCTTGAGACGCACCTTGTAATGTTTTGGAATATTTGGGGATTTTCCTATATCCCAGTACTCAAATCAAGATCCATAACTGAATGTTTGGATGAGTGTTTTGTTTTCAAACACCGTTGATGATGAACTAGAGTGTTGTTTTTTGGTTTCCAAGACAATCCTGTTGCCAGTAAGGACGCTTGTTTGATGTTTGGAATCTAGCTGTAATTAGCTCCTTTAATAGGGTTTTCTATCCCTCCATCCATTTTCTAATTGGCTTTATCCTCACAAGGGTCGCTGGCACGCCGGGAGCCCATCCCAGCCATCTTCGGGCAGTAGTCGGGGTACAACCTGAACTGGTTGCCAGCCAATTGCAGGGCACACATGGATGAACAACCATTCACGCTCACAATCACAGCTCGGGACAATTTAAGAGTGTTTCATTGACCTGCCATGCATTTTTTGGGAATATGGGAGGAAACTGGAGTACCCGGAGAAAACCCACGCAGGCACGGGGAGAACATGCAAACTCCACACAGGAAGGCCGGAGCCGGAATCGAACCCTGCACTTTTGCACTGTGAGGTGGACATGCTAACCAGTCGATCACCGTGCCGCCCTTAAAGGGTTATCCCGTATTCAAATTTCAAATGATGTCAACATCTTACGAACACCCTGCATTTGTAGATTGCGAGAATACAAAATGCTAATTGAAGATGTTCAACAAATATGCCAGTTGTGGCATTTTTAAGCGAGAACTGCAAGAAGCGTCTTTTTTTTTTTTTAACATTTGGGGAAATCAAACTGAAGCCTTTTAAGGGTCCGCGTCCGCTTTTCCCAGTATTTTTGTCCATATAGTGCACTCATCATTTGTCTTTTTGAGCAAATATCTCCGAATAATTAAGCCATATAGTGGGTATCTCTGTTCGTAAATCAGTAAGGCTCGAGTGGACTCATTCTAAGGATGGATGTAGACTAGCAAGCAAAGATTCGCACTCTCTCTTTCACACACACACACACACACACACACACACACACACACACACACACACACACACACACACACACACACACACACACACACACACACACACACACACACACACACACACACACACGCAAAGCTAGCTGGGGGTGTGGGGGTTGGGCGGTGGGGAATTGGGGGGATCCAGATGCACGCATGCGCTTGGACGCTGGGTGGCTTCTATGTTAGCACCTTGTCACCTTTGTATGTTTTGTGCAAATCATCCCCTAAAATTCATCGTTGAAAAGCTCATAGAAAGAATAAAATCTGCTCACCTTTTCCCCAGGTGCTTAACTATGCATATACTGTATGCCAAACATTCATATATATATCTATATATCTCTCTATATATATATTTTATCTTCCAAAAATGTATACAAAATCTATCCTATATACATTGCTTCTGAATTAAAATAACTTTTTTGTTTGTATGTTTAGAATGGACAGCACGTGTCTTTTTTTTTTTCCATTACATTTCACACGACAAAAATCTAGCCACAGTGTCAAAAAAGAAAAACTAACAACAAGCAGTTCAAACTGAGTGTGAGTGAGGTCACAGTGAGCGCTGGCTACTCTTACAACCCACCAACACTTTTTAAATGAGGGGGAATAAAAAAAAAAAAAAAAAACGGGCTCTGTTCCTCAGCGAGATTGTAACCTTGCCTCTGTGGACAACCTGGCTTTCGTCGCTCTTCACAGTTTACCACGGTGTCCTGCTTACTAAAGTAGATAGCAGCGATAAATGCGGACGAGTTACGAGGCTTCAAGGCCGCCAGGTTGTTGATGAAAACCTCGCAAAGACATCCCCATCCCCGCAGCTCCATCCGTTTGGCTCATTGAGCTTGGACTGGAAAAATGTGCCCGGTGTAAGGCGCAGCATTGGCCATTTCAGGGAACGAAAGGTTCACTGGAGCGCGTCAAGAACATTAGGCTTCTGAGACGCCGCTGTAGAATGTCCTTGGTTGAAAAAGAATTTAACCAGTCTGACCTGTTTGGATCAGATATTTGGTATCAGTTGGCCACTGTTGCAAATCAATAGAGTTCTTTGAAGGAATGTACTACTGTAGCCAACCTACAATTGTGCAACCCCCTCCCCCCCCCAAAAAAAAAGGTGTCAAGAAATGGTCTGATATGAAATTTTACATAACTGCTAATAATGTCACCGAGTCATATCAGCTATCGAATAGGGTTGCTGCTTGGCTACTGAAAATTTACCATGTAACTACCAGTCTAATCTTTGGCTCAAATATCATGCAATATTAATTATCAATCGGGTTCTCGCAAAGGTATCACGCAGTGATAATACCAACATGCCTTTGACTCGGAAACAGTATCACTTGATCCATAGCGTTCTCGCTTTGCCTTTGAAAATTTGTCCCAATCATTTGGAAGATAGTTCAAATCTTTTGGGTTATACAGTACACTAGTAGAGATACAGATACAATTGAAGCTCTTAAAATGGTGGTGGTACCCTGCTTAAAATGGCTGCCTTGGCTCAATTGTAAACAATGTATTTGTGTCAAGCCTCTTCAATGACATTGCTTGTTTCATTTCAAATCACTTGCGGTGTGGTACATCGAGTCGATGAGGACCACAGTTGTAATAAGGATCCCACCGTGAGCCCCAAAGTTAGTTATTTCACCTCGTGCGCCAAGCGTCCATCGTTGAGAGGTAGAAGAGCCTCTTTTATAGAAATCAAATCGAGATGTATTGTATTGATTTGCTATCTCATACGGCGGGACTGATGCTGCTGGGATCGGGTGTTCTCTGCTTCACATTTTGGGTTGCCCTTTAGTATGATGGAAGACCGTAAGGAAAGAAGAATCGGAATAAGAATAAAACCAAAGACATGATGGGATTTGTCATGCTACAGTTTGAGAAAAATGTGAACAGGAGATGAACCCCTCCCCCAAAAAATCATGTTCCATGTTTAAAGACTATTTTTACCCTTTCAAATATATATATATATATATATATGTATGTGTACAAGTGTATATTTAGGAGAAATTAGTTAACTACTCTCTGGAAAAGATTTATCTTTGTTTTCTATCATTAAAAAAAAAAAAGTCACAATTGTCTTTTGAAAGCTATAATTAGACAAATTCACACACACACACACTTTTGATGAAATTCTTATATATATATATATATATATATGTATACACACACACACGTGTGATATTCCCTTTGGAAAACCGAAATAACTGATTATGAAAAAAGCCACGAGTGTTGGTTAAACATTCTCCAAAAGGAATGGATAGCACAGTCTGGCTATAGCAAGGCTTCTCCTGTGGTCTGTGGAGCTGCGCCTGTTGGGGCATTCTTTAAAAACAACAGCGGATCTAGAGCAGACACGTTGTGGTTGTCCATTGTGTTCATCGCCGTCATCGTCGATCTCTGTACAAATATTGTCGGAAGGCAACTGAGCTTTTTTTTTTTTTTTTTTTTCTTGATTGGAGCGATAACTCGTTCCTCCTTTACTCAAAAACTGCAAAAAGGCTTGGCCTGGTGGATGGTGGGGTTCGAGGTAGAGAGGGGAGGAGGGCAAGCCATGTATCATTCCATCTTTCCGTTTTTAATTTGCAATCAGAAATCCCAGAAAAGGGAACAAAAGGGATGGAAAAAAAGTTTTTGGGTGTTGTTGTTGACTATTTAATTGCTCAGGTTTATGTGACTGAATGTTTGGTGTAGCAAAGATATAATAGTTAAGATAAATTAGCTTGTTAGTGGCCGCAATTAGTCCAAATCACAATCATAATCCATCAAATGCGCTGCAAAAAATGGTTGTATAAAACAAGAAGCATTAAAATGAGGAATATATGACCCAATTTCAGCACAATTATCAGCAACCACAAGATAAGCTGATTTGGATTGATTTGTCATAATGGGTAAATATGTCTAGCCTCAAAAACCCTCATTTATATTTCCGAATTTATACTACCTGTGGAATTATGGTATGGTATTGAGTTTGGTTTTCATATTTAATTAGTTGGGTTTACATAACCCGGACAATTTATTCCTAGCTATAAGTAAATTTAGATTAAAATTGGAAATAGCTTCTGCAAATGTTGGAAAAATATAAGGAGAAGTTTTTGAGGCCTGCTACACTCAACCCAATTTGGGTTAAAAAAGGATCAATCTACTCCTTGGGTCAATTTGGCCCAACTTTCTGGTTTGTTTTGTACAAGACAAACCATTTTTCCAGTTGTTTCATACAAAACGACCCAATAGTTTTGTTGTTGGTGCAAAACAACCCCCAAAATTTGGGTCAAATTGAGCCAAGGAGTGGATCGGTCCCTTTCACCCATATTGTGTTTTTTTTTTTTTTTACCCAACTGTTTGCTTGTTTTAAGGTCGACATTTATTTTCTGTTCTATTTGCAGATAATTTAGCTGAAATGATGTCATATATTCCCATTTCTTTACTTTTTGAATAATTGTGGAGCTAACAATCAAATGCTCATTAACAAACGCGTCATGAAAACTGGACTGATACAAAATCTAAATCTAATACAAAATCTAAACAATAATAATTATTGTTATTATAGTAACAATCTAAAAATAAATCAAATTTAGTCTTTTGGTTCATTTTGACATTTTATATTTTTTGGTCGGAGCCCGCTATTAATTAAAACGCGAATCATTTTTTCGTTTATTATAGTAGGGTGAAAAACAAAATCAGTCACTTTTTCAGTTTTTGATTTTTGATTGGCAATTGAAAACGGAAAGAGTGAACGGCACGCGGCTTAACATAATGTGGTGGAGCCCAATGTGGAGGCGTCATCAGGAGGACGAAGGTGCGGACTCCTCCTCTTCAGTGCACGACACCAAACAATGGCGCAGCCCGAGTAAAAGAGGAGCTGTTGCTTTTTCATCCACCCGGCCGCTGTCATGGGTGTGGTCTCAGGGCAAGGGTCAGCTCTCCAGCAGCTGCTTGAGTGCCCGCTCGATGTTCATGCGGTGACCCACACGTGTCACGCCCAACTCGGCGAAGTCGTCCTTGGTCAGGGCCGGCAGGTGGGAGCCCTCGATCTCATGCTCCTGGAAGCCGGCGCGGTGCTCGCCCAGGTTGATGCTCTCTAGCCAGTCTCCTACGTCGTACTTATTCCACAGGTGCAGGGGCTTCTGGTGGAAAGGTCTGAGCGCCAGCAGCGGCGAACCCAGACCGGGAGAGTGTGAGGGCGACGGGGACGGCGAGCGGGAGCGGGCGCTGGAGCTCCGCATCACGAAGCGGACCTCCTTGGGCTCTTGTGGTAGGCTGAGGCTGGACGATTTGAGGATGGTCGGCGGGGGCGTGGTCGGCGAGTAGCCCGGGTAGCGTCCGAGGGGGTCACTCCGGTCGGGGGAGCCCGGGCTAGGGGTGCGTCGCATGACGGGGTAGCGGCTGCCGGGGCGGATAGTATACGTGGTGCCGTAGCTTCTCTGAGAAATGGTGTGGAGTTCACCTAGGCTGCTGAAAAGTCTGAAGGAGAAAAGCAGAAGCAGACATAAAAGCAGAAGGTCTTGAGGTCAGGTCAAAATTGAAACAGGCCTCCTTTCTCTCCTTGTTTCCACCTAGCGGTAACATTTGCTTCATTTTTTTTCCCCTCCACAAAATATCTGACTCTAACCTTTCACTGTTCGAACCTCATTCATTGGGCTGTCGATTATGATGGTACATTTGGTACATTTCGGTCCGCTTGTGCAGGCTGGAGTGAGACTAGGAAGCATAAACTTTTGTCCTCAAGGACAGCCTTAAATTTTTTTTTTAAACAGACCAAGTCATTCAGTCACATCAAGACTACAAAAACTGGAATGTGTGTGTGGAAAATTACAGTCCATTTGCAATTGAGTACTTGCGAACTCTCCTCCTTTCTTTGACGAAATCAGAGAGAGGTTTACACAATCAGAATATATTTTTTACCACTTGGTGCAAACTTGATCTCGGCACCAGAAGTTGAGGTTAATGCAAAGGCAGAGGTGCGCGACTGGCGGAAAATCACAGCAACCCTACAAAGTGATCACCTTCAGTTTTGAACTTTAACCCTTTCGGGGACAGCGGTTACGACAGTGGACAGTTTGTCATGTTAGCAGGTTACTGGGTGCATGAAAGGATTAACCTGACAGATTTAAAATTCTGACTCGGTTTACACGAGGTAAGAGTTTGAGGGAAAAAAAAAGAATCCAAGTGCTTTTACCACATGTAGACTGCATTCCAGTACTGTAGGAGCAAAACTCTGTCGTGAAGCGTCACCATAATAACATAAGACATGCTCTATTTATCTGTCCTGTCTGTATGTGGTGCCCTCTGTAAAAAAATGAATCCAGGTAAATATCTTGCTAATATGTTCAATACGCACTGGTGAAGTCGCCGTACATCCATTTGCTCTAAATTCGCATCTCGTAAAAATGGAAATTCTTCTGCTTGAAAACCTCATAGATTTCTTACTTTTCTGGACTGCAGTATAGATTTGGAATGCATGTAAATAAATGTGTCAAGTGACTCCAGGTAATTACCGTTCACCTGCTCCAGCTATACACTCGACATCATCAGGAAGCATACTTGTTTTCATTTCGGGCCTGCATGTTACATTAGCATTGATTCACGGCTGTGATGTATTGCAGGATGCTGCAAATTACGTTAGGTCAAAAATGGAAAGACAGCGGATTGGAGTTGAATGATTTGCAGGTACGTTGTCGTGTGAACACTTTTGTCTGGCTTGTTGAAGGCAGGGAGGAGCAGAGACGAGATACTGTTTGTGCTGATGTTGTGATTGTTACATGCATGTTGTTTGCATAGCTTCAGTCACCAATGAAAATCACGTATCTCGTCCCTGAAGCGCAGATAAAAATTGTCTGCAATTTACTGGAGGATACATCTTTTTCATTAGCCGGCAACAGTATGGGTGAGATGTGTACTACAAAGCAGTGATCCCCAGCTCCTGTGCCATGAACGTAATCATCAGGTGTGACACAGGACATTATCCGGTTTCGCTTATTTACGCCAAATAATCTGCCTTTATTCACCTATTTATGTCAATGACGTGTAATGACAGACAGAGCAATGAGATCGTCTTTCATCAGATGGCAGAAGGTACAATGTGTATCCACCTGTTGACGTTCATACAACAGAATTATAGTTTGTGATCAACTAAACTGGCCCAGATTTCACACTCAGACACATGAACATCATCATTTTCATGTACAGGTGTTTATACTTTTCATGAAATTTTTGTACGGTGGCGTCCCGTTGAGTTTTGTCGTATAAAATATGTGCTCTGGCTCAATCAGGTTGGGAAACACTGCTACAAGGTGTTCACTTAGACCCCTCCCCCTCCCCCTCAATACAAAAACAAACAAAAAAATAAGATCAGGGGGCCGACGGACATGAGATGAGCTCCATGCGCACTTACACAGTGGTCCTGCCCTCCTGGGTGCACAGTCAGTTCTAGACCAATCAGATCAGAGCAGCAGGGGCGGAACATGCAAGGCGAGCAAAGAGAGAGCAATGGGAGAGAATGTTAGCATCACTCGCATGGGACGCAGCCCGCTAAGCAGATATGTCCACGGCCTCGGGACCCCTCGTCTGCTGTCTTTGACATGCTATGCTAGGTGTGTGTGTGTGTGTGTGTGTGTGTGTGTGTGTGTGTGTGTGTGTGTGTGTGTGTGTGTGTGTGTTCACAGTGGCTGTAGCCAAGAAACACGTTTAAGATTGTTGTTCGAGATTGCAGTGGGGTACGACGGCTGTGTTCTTTAATCAGGCCCACCGAGCTTTTATGCTATGAAGAGTCCTGTGATATTTATTACATTTATATATTTAGATGTGGTTGTTTTTGTGTTAAAATGTTTGCATAGACCGTATGTCAGTGAATTAGAGTTAAATATATCGAACCAGATATTCACCCTTTCAGGGACAGCGGTTACTACAGTGGGCAGCTTACCATGTTTTCAGGTTAAAGGGTGCATGAAAGGATTAATAATAAAAATTTAAACTTGAGAATACATTATTATTATTTAAATCAGCTTACGTTTTAAATGGATTCATTAATTTTTCATTCTTGTCTTTCATGCATCTCATTAGGCAATCGGGTTATTGATTCATTCCATTACAATGAAACCTATTTGTAAAATAATTAGTTATGTAAATGAATTGATTTAAACATGTCCATATACAGTGAATGCAGCAATTTTCCGTTCACTTTAAAATCATTGGTTGCTTTATTATAACTCAATGAATTATAAATAATCAAATACATGGAATGATTTATTTTTATATTTCAAACATATTTTTTACATAAATTACCGATATACATACATATAAATTCCTCATCTGTCTCATCTTTTGGTTTCACAAGTCTACTTTGAATAAACTACAGTAATTTTTTACAAGTACACAATTAAATAACTGGTTAATTGATTATTCTTAATGTTACAATGACAAACATCAGTAATACCAGTAGAACATGCATTTAAGTAATTGGTTGATAGTTGTATAATGTACACGCTGATTGAATTATTTTACGATTAAAATTTACTGTACATTAAAAAAAGAAACCTCATTTCCCAATAACTTGGCCCCTCTGTCAATTGAAAAAAAAAAATCTAACATTGCTCTTAAGCACAAACGTTTGCACATCCATAGTATGTTAAAAGTACAATACCGTACACTCCATACCATATGATTGTGCGCAGGTGTATGCAGTATGTTGAGGAAACATGACAATGACAGCAGAGTCGGTTTGAGCACCAGTCGGTCTGACTTGCGGGCCACATGAGAGAGAAATGAGCACACGGTTCACCATCTCAAACAACTGCACAAAGAAAGACACACAAATATACACACACGGGGGGAGGACACGCGTCCCTTGACTTTTATGGATGCTTTTGTGGTTTTTCTTGTTCCATTCAAGCTGAAATGAATAAAAGAAAATGAGGGATTGTCCCCAGGCTTTTGTCCTTGTGTAGTACTTGTACACTTGACAATTTGTATCAGGACTACTCGTATGTCTGTCTTCACCCTAGATGTGTTTTTCGTGTGCGTGAGCGTGGGCAGTTAGGGACAGACGAACTGAACGTGACCCAAAAGCATGGAGGTGGATGCATATGTGGAAGAAGGGAAGAGACACATGGCGAGTGAGGACTGAAGAGGAAGTAATGGTGCGCATGATGGGTCTTTGTCACAAGCCAGTCCTCTCCACTGCTGCTTCCAGTCACAACAGCGTCATATTTGCTCATTACACTATTCACAAACATTTGTGAAATTTCCAAGATGAAACTAAAATGCACTATGACCTTTACTTCGTAGTTCCGCTGAGGCAAATATTTTTATGACGACACTTTTTAATCAAAGATGCAAGTACAGCAAACTTGTCCAGATTATTTTTTTGTGCTGATTTCAAATCTGACCTTGTTTTTTTTCTTAAGCACATCAGGTTGAGATTATTTTGTGATTGGATGCCTTTTATAACATGACGGCCCCAAAAGTAGCCTCCCTTGGAAATTAAAAAAATAAAAATAAATAAAAATTAGCCCCCAACATCACTTTTACCATAGCACATGAAAATGGGTAGACGGGTCTCTCAAAACAAGACCAAAAATTCTCAAGTATCCGTGCCTGAAATTAGACAGGGAGTCAGCCGTTTTGGTTTACTGCACTGCCATTTGGAGCTTTATTATTCTTTCGAGAAATGAATTGCCTTTTGAATTACTCATTTCTTCCAAAAAGTTCAATCGAGCCAACTGGACTCTTCTGGGTTGTTAAAGACATTTCTCCTTTCATCCAAAAGTGTTAATCAGTTGCAAGTACCCAATGATTTTGGATCTAGTTATGTGTTTACAGAGACATAAAGAGGGGAACTCGACACTTATGATTTAGAACCAATGGTGAAACCTCTTTATTAACCGAGCTTCATTTGACTTTTTTTTTCCAGATTACCATAAAATGGATGACTGAGTTCATATTTGATTTTAAATGAGATCATGATGATGTGACAACATCGGAACAATTCTGACATGACTCCAACGACATTTGAAAAGATTTTTGCCCAGATATTCTATGTTGGTGATGAAACCTTAAAACCACAGTGGGAACTCCTGCGTTATTTAAATCGGAGCTCGATGGTATGCCATTTTGACAAGGTCAACATTCGATCTGGTAGTCGATGCAAAGACTGTGAGACGGCTTTTCAGCAGAGACACGACACACCATTAATTCAGACATGTTCAAATACATCTGAAGATACATCCTTGGAGGTCATTACTGATAATAGTGTCAGAAGGGTGGCAGCGATGAGACAGCTGCTGCTCTTATCTTGCGTTTGGCAGTGACAATCTCAGGAGCTGTAGATGTATCACTTGATGTATTATTTGAACCACGACTTTGGGTGGAGCGCGGGAAAAAGAGGGGGGGGGGGGGGGAAAGAGGGGGGGGGGGGGGGAAAGAGGGGGGGGGGGGGGGAAAGAGGGGGGGGGGGGGGGAAAGAGGGGGGGGGGGGGGGAAAGAGGGGGGGGGGGGGGGAAAGAGGGGGGGGGGGGGGGAAAGAGGGGGGGGGGGGGGGAAAGAGGGGGGGGGGGGGGGAAAGAGGGGGGGGGGGGGGGAAAGAGGGGGGGGGGGGGGGAAAGAGGGGGGGGGGGGGGGAAAGAGGGGGGGGGGGGGGGAAAGAGGGGGGGGGGTGGGAATCCTGTAGGTCACAGTCTGTGTGTGTGTGTGTGTGTGTGTGTGGTGAGAAGCCCTCAGGTGTACACACACTAACACCCAAGGGCCAGTTCCCTTGTTTGCATCAATGATAACACTATGCTTAATTTGCATGTGTTGTTAAACACGTTTCTGTCACTACAGAAACAAGAATGCCATTGTTGCGGTACTTCTCCGCACAATTTCAGTAATAAAGCTAAATAACTGGTCAAAAGCATGAGGGATCCAAATCCTAGTTAGTAGACGTAATCAAGTGATGCAAACAAAGTAACTAGTGTACCTTATTTCTTCACATAGCAGCCGTGGTCGTTCAATTCCTCGCCTGCTCTGTATTCTTCATATTTAAACCCCAAACCGTAAACAACACATTAATGTTCTTTCTTTTTGTTAGACCAATCCCTCAATACATGACTCCCATGAAAATTTGGGATTTCGGGTAAAATTTGAGGATGAATCAAAAATGTACTATAACGTACACAAGTCAATGTAATTTGTCCTTCGGAAGACTTTTGAATGTTCAACTGGTCAATGTTTCAGTGCTGTCTGGACGCTTTGCTGTTCTTCAACAAGAAGCTGAATGGCAATATTGATCACAGGTGCTTGATACAGGGAAATGTCCACAGACGTGCACTTATATTCCTTTCTGTGCCTCTTCCATTCTCTCTTTATTTCTTTTGCAACTCACTGATGATACTCTCTGACATGCTAAACTCAGTGGCCACTTCCTGTTTGAAGCCTAATGTCAATTGTTCATAATGTAAATCGGCTTAGGTTTGTGGACGACACAACTGACAATTCACTGGCATCGGTTAGCATGGAGGCCACTATGTGAGGAAATACAGCATTAAACAAAAGGAAACAAACAGTGTACAAATGAGTGTGTTTAAGGGAAGAGTCTTCAGCAGGATTAGTTGACAAGCTGGTTAGGAAAGTGTTTTTAAAAAGCAAAAACGTTTACCCTAGTGTCTACAACCTTAGGGTTTACTCTCTCCAGTGTCCTCACATCTGCAGAAATAAAAAGCACTTTGTTGTTCTCTCAGGCATAGCGTGATTCCCCCCAACACTAAAACATATATCAACAGTAATTGTTGGGAGAACCCCTCTGAGCTTTATTTATTGCAAACGTGTTTAACTATGAGGCAACTTTTTATAATGGATTTCCAAAATTTATTTGTCTTCTTACCTGGCACCTGCTACAGGAGACTTCCTCCCAGGGTCGAGTGATGCCCCCAGCGGTTCCTCCCCCAATGACCGCGTGTCTTTATTGAGCTGCTGTAGTCGTGAACTGAGCTCCCCCATCACAGAGGGTTTCGCTCCTTCATCAGCACCCAGCCCTAGTCCCAGCCCGCCGAGGTTGCCCAGACTTCCAATACCGAGGCCCACTCCTTGCCCGCGGGGCTCCACCGGGTCCCCCCATAGCTTAGACCGCCGCTGGAAGAGGTAGCGCGGCTTGGTGGGTGCGAGTCCTGTCACGGAGGCCGATCCGCCGGGGGGCAGCCCGGCTCCTCCGGCCAGCGCCGCAGCCAGGGCCGCAGCTTGTTGCTGGGATAGCAGCTCACTGTCAGAACTCTGCTTCAGCAGAGGGTCCCTGAAGGTGACGGGGCCTTTACTGCCTCCTAAGTGGGACTTGATTCGGGGCTTCGGAGGCACTGGCGGCTTGTCGAGCACAAAAGTCTGCCCGTCGGCATAGGAAGTGTGTGTGGTGTGTGTGTCGGCTGGTTCGCCGCTTTCTGAGGACAGCGTGGACATGCTGGAAACCGTGGAGACAGTGCTGGTGGTCTCGAGGTGGTGGTCTCTCTCCCGCTCGCTGGAGCTGCGCGTGTCGGCCTCCTCTACGCCTGAATCGGCTGCAGAGCCGGACTCGCCCACTGGTGGGGGCTCCAGGGGGTCCGAGGGTTTCCCTGAGACAGCTGCTGCACTGATAGGAGCGCCGGCTGGAGGTGGGAGCTGTGATGGAGGCTGAAGCTGGGTGGGGGTTACAGTTGGGGTGATCGGCGTTGAGGGAGTTTGGGGAGTGGATGTTGGCGGGGTGGTGGGTGAAGGGACAGAAGGTTTGGTTGGGGAGAGTAAAATACCCTTTGCTTGAGCCTGTGCTAGCAGCCCGTTAGCGAACTCATCAGGTGGTGGTACAAAACCTATCTTACGCAGCTCCTCACGTGTTTCCTCGTCACTGGAGGACAGCATGGCAGGAGGCAGCGTCACCGTGTATGGATCCGTGTCCTCCTCCGAGCTTCCCTGTATCAGACCTTTCTCTAGAGCTGGACTGGCAGCACGCTGACTCTGAAGCTGAGGCAAAGAGACTGTGGGACTGGGGGACTTAATCCGTGGACTGAGAGACTTGCTTGGCTCTTTGGATGTCGACAGAGTTGCCTGTTCTTGCTCCGGACCCCTGCTGTCAGCTTGGCCATTACTGGTCGCATGGACCATGATCAGTCCTGCCGTTTTCTGCTGCGACGTGTCCATAATACTGATCAACATGCTCTTCTTATCTTCTCGCGTCTTTTCCTCCTTCCTCTCCTCAATCCTCGCCTCCATCTCCTGGTGGAACGACACACTTGATGGTGACCACGGTGGTTTGGTGGGCTGAGGGACTAACACTGAAGCTGGAGTGGACCCCTTGGAGCTTTGAGATGTAAAAGCAGGAGATGTGGGTGGTCCTTCTCCATGAGGAGACTCTTTGGTCTGACTGTCAATGAATATTACGCCTTGGCCCACTCGCTCCTGTTTAGTCCGTGGCTCTGGGCTGCTAGTTGGGGATTGGCTCTGGGAGGTCAGCGCCCTCTCCCTTGCGGCCAGCGCGAGAGCCAAAGGGGAGTTGGGGTCCAGGGGCTTTCCGGTCAGCGGATGGATAAAGGTGGTCCCGCTAGGTGAGGGGCTCAAGGCCAAGGCAGGAGGTGGCAGCTGGCCAAACTCTCTGTTGAGTATCCGCTCATCGACGGAGTGAGACTGAGTCAGAGAGGGGACCTCCGTTCCAGCGGAGGATGCCCCCTCCATCGTTCCGACAGAAAGGAAGACAGTGGATCTCCGCCGCTCTTCCAGGCGACGCTCACGGTCTTTCACTGCTCCGGCAATGGCGGCGGCAAAGGGGCCCTTACCCTGAAACATGACCTCGCCCTGGGCCCGCAAACGCTCCCGCTCGGCCATCAGCTGCTGCTGGTAGTAGTCTGCACGGCTGGTGCGCGAGTGGCCGTGCGGGGGTCGTCCTGAGGGTGAGCTCTCTCGTGAGTGGGCAGCTGCTAAGGCCAAATTAGCTTTTTCTTGTGCATCCTCCACCTGGAACAACAAGGATGACTTTTTTCACAGACAGTTGTTGGTTTACAGTACAATAGAGTTGCTTTCCTCCAACCTCACCTGCAACATGCAGTTTACTACAAGTAACAAAGTAGTTAAGTCATAATTGCAGTACATTTTTGCACGAGAAACATACACACACAAAAAAAGGCTGTCAAGGTACCACTGCACAGAGACAGACAACCAGCCACATTCACATCATCCCTGAGTGACTACCGACGACCCCCTGTAGAAATTTTCTCCGGGTCCTGGATTTCAAGCGTGCAATATGAAAACGAGTGAGAGGCTCTTTGACACCAATTCAACTAACAAATACCACTTACCTGTAATTGCTTCACCAGGGGGCTCTTCTTCCTCTGAGGCTTGGTAGGTGTGTACAGTCCAATGCTGAATTGACCCACATTGGCATAGGGGTTGTCAATAATCCGCCCCTTCCGTTTTATTCGCTCCGGAGGAGTGGCAGCAGAAGGCCGGGGAATTTCTGTGGGTTCCACGGGTAAATGGGACGAGTCCTGCAGGATAATCATGGAGCGGGCTTTCTTCTGCCTCTCTATCTGGGCGGCCTGCCGATGAGTTGCCTCGTAGGGCAGGTCCAGGGAGGAGGGCTTAAAGCTGGAGCGTCCCCCTGGTTCGTGGCCCTGACTCTGAGTCCGCGACGGGGGCGGTGGTGGGCAGAAAGCCGGGGGAGGTCCCGTGTCCAGGTAATAGGGAGGTGGAGGAGGTGCTGTTTGCGGAGGAGGTGGGATCGGATGAGGCTGCGGGTGGTCTCGGAGGCTGTCTGTCATGGAGGAACTGCGGGGAAAGCGGTGCTCACCTTCCAGGGCAGAGAGATGATCCTCCTCAGTGGCACCTGCAGGGCACGCCACATTTAAGGACGAGGATTACAGTAAGATCAGGAAAACAGACCTTTTGTTAAAACAGCCCAGCAGGTCCATGGCTACTTCACGCTTTAATCCTGCTATGTGTGAAACTGTCACCTTGCACAGTCAACAGTTTATCCTTTTAACACTTTTTTTTTTAAAGGCTTTTTCCATCTTTGTTTGACTTATTCAACACTTCATTAAACATGAATTAAGTGAGTGACTCACACAGCCAAATCTTTTTTTGTGATACTTGGAGGATTAAACCTTAAAAAATGTATCACTGGCCCCGTATTTAGCAATCTGCCGCACAATTCAGCTGTGAGCTCCAGCTTAACACAAGAAATTAAACAAAAGAGTGTACAATACAATATACAATACTGCATTTAGATTTGTACAAATTATATTTAAACACCAAAGTGTCCAACCAAACCAGAAAATGTTGTCGAATGAAAGTCCGCTGGTTTAATAACCATAAGAAAAGAAATTGATGGCCTAACGGAAAATCAGCATCAATGTTGACGTTATTAGAAACCATCCAAACTTTAACACAAACGGAACAGAACATGTAAAAAAAGAGAATTAAACATTGCAAAATTAATTACCAACATTTTTAGTCCAACCATATCATTTTGTTTAGCTAAAGTCTGCTAGCTTAATGTTAACATGTCGAAATGGCATAGATGGGGTAAAATACACCTGCTATCTACTGGAAGAGAATTTCATCATTTTGTCTGTTACTGTATGTCACCGACAATGGATAAAGATTGATCATTTTCAGACCAGTTAAGTGAAATATGATACTATCCTGCGCTACACCTCATGATTTGTCACGGAACACTTTTGGGAATTGACTGTCGTAATGGATCGCAGCAGTAACAGGATAGGTGATTGTTTTACCAAATGACTTGGTCCTGGACATCCCCTTAGGTAGTGCCATATGACCGCTCTCCATGGCTGGATGAAAACCTCCATGTAGTGTCATCCCTTGTCGTTCAAACAGTGACTGCAGCCAGACCCCAACAAAACATTGAAATGTGATACGTGATGTGTTTATAACGAGGTGCTGATTTTGAATCGGTGCACTCACACTGATCTCTGCTGGTGTTATTCTCCTGCTGGTGGGCCGCTGTTTGACGGTGGCTGCTCGGTAATCTGCCTCCGGGGGATGAGAACGCAACATGGACTCCTGGGATGCCAACATTTCATCGAGTCTCTCTGTTAAGAAGGCAAATGAGCCAGAACTAAGTAAGGTAAGAAAGCAATGAGACACACGAGGAGACGACCGCCACATCATTTGTTTTTAAACTGCTAAATACAATAGAGAATACAAATGATGATGTGACGACTGGCATTGAATTTTGTAATGTGATTTGCCAAGTGTGGTACACCAGCTCCCTCTAGTGGTATATGAAAGAATGACTGAATGAAATATTCGAACTGTGTTACAGTGGTTTTAAATCCTGCACAGTACATTTGTTAAGTACAGTTCAGTTGTAATCAACTATAGTAAAATATTATTATGAGGTATATATCGCCAATGTCCTGAGAAAAACATGTATGTCCATTTTTGTCATTTTTTTTAAAAAAAATTCTACTTTAATGGAATGTCCTAAACTTGAACACACCATTAGTGTAAAAAATGGACATACCGTAATTTCTGGACTATAGACCGCACCTGATTATAAGCCGCACCACTACATTTTTAAAGGAAAAAAATATTTTGCACACACATAAGCCGCACCTGTGTATAAGCCGCAGGTGCCCATATTGTAACATGAGATATTTACAAAGAAAGACGGTACACAGGCGGCCGTTAGAAAAGTCTTTATAAAAGCTGCTTCATGAAATAAGCCGCAGAGTTGAAAGCATGTGACAAAAGTCGCGGCTCATAGTCCGGAAATTACGGTATATGTTTTTCGCACAACAGCGGCCATGTTTCCTTGCCCCACAAAATGGAGAGAGCAGTGAGAAAACATCTGAGTCTCTTGCCTCAGACTCACCTCCTCTTCTCCTCCGAGCAGAAGCTTTGTTGACAATGAAAGCGTCAGCAGAGGAGAGAAAAAGCACAAGAACAAGCCAAGAGAAGTAACTATTGTCAAAGTTAGTGGAAAAAAAAAGAAAGCAGAAAACAGGAGGAGTCCGGGACACCGTTTGAGCATTTATACATGTGATATCTACCCTAACGTCCGTCAACTAGTTCACTCTTTGACTTCACTCATAAGACAATTCAGCGCAATAAGAGAAAAACTAGGACACTCTAGTGAAAAGACTAGTGGTGTGTTTTCCATACCTACACTGCATTACTGTATGGACAAATAGCATCATAGTACATGGACCTCAAGGTGAGTATGAAGCATATTGAACAAATGCTCAAATGGCTTGCCATAGAGAGCATACATCCAAAAATGCCAGAACTCACCCAATTCTTCCAGCTCGGCCGTCATGGACTTGGAGCGCAGCGTGAGCGTGGTGCTGGGGGCTCTTTTGGGAGGCGGCGGCGCTGTGGAGAAAAGGTATGGCGTTGAAGACCGTGATGGAAAGTCTTTGGCTTTGCGGCTCAGTGCCCTCCGTGCCTCCCGTAGATGGCCGGCCCATGTCGAAGTCGCCTTTGTTTTCATCGTATCCAATTTGGACGAGGTCCTATGCTGGAAGCCCGACGTCATGCCAGGGCTTGATTAGTCGGGAGGTGTTCTTTCTCGGTCACTCCCGAACGTAACATCACATCGAGGGAAAATTTAGTCCATGGATGTGAAGTGAAACGTATCGACACGGCAGCTCGGACACACAAGCTGGTTCTCCCTCACTTGGGGCCTGATTTACGACTGTCTTTCGCTCTTTGAGTACCTTCCGCTGGTTTTCACCATGAAAAATTTGTGAGAGTACCACAGGTGCAAAACAATGTGCCAAGTGATGAAATTGGAAGAGTTAGTGGTAAAGGCAAACTAAATTAAAACTGAGTGGCAGAAATGAAATCTGTCGATCCAAAAATGTTGTGGAGGACAGCAATGACACAAAAGCCATACTTTCTTTGATTTAAAACTTGGACCAGCACACCCCAAAAAACTGCTGTGGGAGGCCACCAATTGCTGCCCTGTGCTGAAATGAGCCGGATGCACGGAAAGGCAAAGTTGAAAGTTGTCATAGGTGATATGGCTGATCACCCAGACACTTCAAAATTGCATTGCTGAATAGACAATATGTCAGAACAATTTTTATTTGTGGCCTTTCAAAAACAGCGCACGAGCGGAAAGGATCTATTGTGCCTGGTGCCTCTCATTTTGCCCATGCCTTCTCCTTGTTGCGGTAACGTAGCCATGTTTACGGTGCCAGTTTGCATTTGTCTTTCACACATTTGCCTTTCGTATTTAAAAACACACAAAAAGCCACCGCAACTTGTCTCAAATTCGATCAGTTATATTGGACATGCTAAATTCGTAGACTGTATTTGCATCAACTTCTCACATAGCACGTAAAATTCAACTGTGCAGCAATTCTGTCTGTTTGTCAGATAAAATGCTGGGTGCGCCTGGTTAGATGATCAGCTTTCACATCTATTGGTGTGGGCAATCAAATTTGCTCCTGTTTTTGCATGTGCAGCCCTTGAGTAAATCAGGCCCTTGGAGAACAAAACGACATCTGCGTTAACAGATGGAGAAAGGACAATGGTTTAACAGCTAAGGAGAACGACACTACCAGACATCACACCTCCACACTTTTGGGAGTTTTGTAATCCATCTCCAAACATGCAAGGTTGCAATCTCGCTGACTTTAAAATGTATATTCAACAAGCACCTCAGGTGTGCAAGATAGTTCCTAAATGCAGGAAGTTTACTAACGGGAGACCCGAGAGAAAAAAAAAAAAAAAACTGCAGCATTCATACAAAAAGTGCCATCCTTCAGTGAATAAAAAATAAATAAAAATCATAAAATCCAACTATCCTTCATATGGTGCAGAAGTCCAATCAACAGTCCTGGTCTTCGCCGATTCTGCATGTGTGTAGATCGTGGTGAAGTGGAGATGGAGGAGGGTTCGAAAAATAAAAATAAATAAAGAGAGAGAGAGAGAGAGAGAGAGAGAGAGAGAGAGAGACCAGCCCGAGAGGTAGAGAGAGCCTGTTGCTATAATGGAATGCTTAATTCCAAACATGCGGTGTAGTTGCCATGACAACAGTGGCGAAGAGAACCAAAGATGCAGAGGTGCAAGAAGACTTTGTGTGTTTCTGTGTGCATTTCATTACTGTACAAGAGGAGTGTACAGGAAAGTCTCAAAACGTATCTGAGGAGCTTCCGGGAACATCGTAGTAGTCGGTAATGAAGGAATTATTGCTTTGCTCAACAGTCATTGGCATTCAGATTAGCATCTCCCCAATCATCCATTTTCAAGAGTTGCTCACAGCTCTAGTTGGAATGTCTTTTTGACACCTGACTTTGGGTGAGAGGCAGGGTTAACTGCTTTGACTAGTCACCAGTCAATCACAAGGCACCTATGGACAAACAAGTAACTGATGGCGCAACCTCACAGGGAGCGTTTCACAATCCTCTCCCGTCAAATTTCAGTGTGAAGTGCTTTTGTGTTTCCTCTCCAATATTTAGTGGTGTTTACCTTTCTTGCGGACAACTTCCTCCGACTCTGGCTTGCGCGTAACCGACACCACCTTCATCAGCAGACGGTTGCCTCCTTGTCGGATCAACGATACGACTTGCTTGTGGCCGACCTTCACCACGTTCACACCGTTCACCTGATGGGTGCCACACATGTCATCGTTGCTGCCATTTTGATACAGTATGAACTCAACTTAACTGATCAGGTTTTCAAGTTACAACACGTTGTTTTTTTTACTCTGTGTTGCGATCAAAAATCTGCCTTACCAGCGAGCTTTTTCCAAAGGTTCTAAGAAAGTAAATAAGAGCTGAGAGGAAGCAGATCATGTCTACAGCCAAGAGTTATTCAAATTAGAGGACAAGTGTGCTTGCTTTAAGCTGCTAACTGACACTCCAATTTCAAGTTTAGTCTAAAATTAAACATAGAACAAAAGGAATTACACATATCGGCAGTTTGTATTTAACCAAAGCACATTACTTTGTCTAAAACTGAAAGTTCGCTAGCTTAACGCTAACACATAACATCAAACACTGTAGAAGGCTTCACAAAGCTCGCATCAATATCGTGGTAGTTATAAACCCTTAAACAACTGGTGTTGAAGCGAACATTTTTGACAGAAAAATGGCATTGCCGATGAGATTCTACTTTTCAGGGGCGAGTATGGCCATGGAACAAATGCAACTGTAAAGTCAAGATATAGAGATGAATATTTCTGTATGTGCTCGCGATTACCTCAATAAGAAAGTCTCCTGTCCTCAGTCCGGCCCTCCAGGCCACACCCTCCACGTCTACAGATTCCAGATACTGCAAAGCGGGGAAAGCCGGGGTCGGAGTGAACTCTTCGATGGGCGTCTCGGCTAAGCAAACAGATGAGAGGATTTAGTGATCAAGGTGAGATTTGGGCATAATCAAAAAGAGATTGAGCTCAGATTTCAACTGATATCAATGCCAGGGGCGTCACTAGGTTTGAAGAACAAGGGGGGCTTAGCCCCAAGGGGAACACAGCCCCTTTAGGGGGGTCCGGGGGCATGCCCCCCCGGGAGAATTTTTTTCTACATTCTGTTAAAAATCCATCAATTCCGTGCACTTTGAGAGCAAAATGAAGAGGCTATGAAGAACTACACACATCACATTAGTATCCTCTTTACTATGATGGGGCTTCCTCCCCTGGACTTCAACTGGACTAGATAATAGAAATTATAAAGAGTTCAAAAGTTCAATCTTGGTTGCTCAAGGGAATTAGAAGGATGCCCGATAACATAATCTATATGACAGTAGGCCTATATTCCTCTCTACCAAAATGTATTAATATATGCTTAGCCCCCAGAAGACTATGTATTTTGAGATGTCTGCCGCGATATGCAATTTAAGTTAGTACAATGAGATGCAAAAGCTTCATCACTTTGGAAAAACACAAGTTTGCTGCCCAATACTTACTGTAAGCTCCGAATGCATTTTGGGAACAGCCTTGCAAGTAAAATTAGCCTTGAGATCTGATAGACTCACCTGTCCAGCAGACGAAAGAGGAGGAACTTTGATCGACTGAACCATTATTGCCCTGCATCTCGAAATCTACTGTACCTGCACAACTTGAGACTCTTTTTGTATTGTCGGGTCACAGTTTCAAGTCTTCAATGAACCTAACATGTTTGGTTTTGGATTGTGAGAGGAAGCTGCAGTTTCCATCTGCACATGGGGAGAATATGTAAACTATGCACATGAGGGCCGGCACCGAGATTCAAACCCACTAGACTACCATGCTGCCCTGTTTCTTTCTTGTGTTCTGGATTATTTGGTGAGGAGTAAAACTGCATACAATGTCATGTTTGAAAACACACACACACACACACACACACACACACACACACACACACACACACACACACACACACACACACACACACACACACACCATTAAATCCCATGGCGCATATCCAACAGTCACTGACGTGACTTTTTTCTGAGCCCACACTAAGTGGACTGCATTTGTGGTCTTGTGTGTGTGTGTGTGTGTGTGTGTGTGTGTGTGTGTGTGTGTGTGTGTGTGTGGGTGTGTGTGTGTTTCATTGGACAATAAAAGACAGCTCTACTGGTCGTGAGTGATAGAGAAGTAAAAGTAGACTCCCACCAAGGTACCTCAGCGGTGGTTGCCATGGTAACCCTCCTCTGAAGCACCCCCCCCCCAAGCAAGATGGGGATGGGAATGGGGCAGTTAGGAGAACAGGGCACATGCGTGAAAAGAGTAAAACACACTGATGGAATAGGTGGAGAGGATCATGTACGTAGAGGTTGCCAAGGAAGATGAAGAGAAGGAGCGAGTGAGAGAGGGAGGAGGAAAGAAAAGATGAGAGAGAGTGAGAGGAGAGGTGTCGACTAAATGCGAGCGCCATGTGGGAGCAGCAGATGGGACAGCGAGTTGGCAAAAACGTGTTGACCAAAGCTGCTACTGACTCATATGATGCGTTCGCAGTACAGTGCCCTTGTGGAGATTAATTACATCTGTCTAACAGTTGAAACGTTCTGGGTTCAAGACTCTTCTGTGTGGATTTTGCATGTTCATTCCATGCTTCTTTCTTTTCTCCCAAACCACCCAACCAAAATATGGACCACACAGGAAGGCGGAGCCTGCATTTGAAGCCCAGCCTCCAAACTGTGAGGCAGATGTGTTAAAGACTTGGGCACAGCGTAGCCCCATTCCCTGTCCAGCAAATAACTCTAAAATCTACAACAGGAATAATAATGCTCACCTTTTGCTCCACGCAGGACAAAACCAAAGCCCTCATTTTCTTTCTTCTGTAAGACCGCATTCTTCTCCTCTATGATGTAATCACTTGGAAGCGAACAGATGAGAAAGAAAGAAAGTTTGACTCTGGAACCACACACGCACGTACGCGCGCGCGCGTACACACACACACACACACACACACACACATACACACACTGGCAAATAGCAGTTCTGACTGAAGTGCGGCTCAGTAGCATTTTAAGGGTGAATCAATCGTCCGCCATTGAAGTGACAGACACGAGAGCCTCAGAAGTGATGCTAATGACAGAGGAAATTCCACTTGTTGACATTTAATGGAGGAACGCGCACTTAAAGCATCAAAAATTCAAAAGTCCAAAATATTATTTGCAATAATATGCTCAGTGTACTCCCTCTAGTCCAAACACGACATTCTGATGAATCCACCTCTTTTCAGCCATCCGAGAAGGTTGACATTTTATGCAGTGCCGCCCCCTTGTGTTGAATGAAATTGATGTCAAAGTGGCCACAGGCTCACATTGTGAATGTCACATGATCAAACCCAGAAAACAGTTGAGCCAGATGCTATTAAAACGTCCCGGACCTTATTTTTGAGGGAATAAGGACAATTTCTAGTATATTTTTTTAATGGAGGAAGAAGAAGTAAAAAGTCATCAGAACATAAAATCCATCAAACACTCAGCGTCAGATACACTTGCAATGCAAACTCAACACACCTGGCTAGGTAAGGTTGCGGCCACTCCAAACATCAAAGCAAACGTTTTAGTAAAAGCTTGTAAAATGAGCCATTAACCACTGTGCTCGCTCTCCCGTTACCTTAGCGTCACATCACTTCGCTTTCAAGACTTACCAAGAGAACACAGAGCTGGTGCTGGTGCAAACGGCTGATCGGAAACAAACCTTTCTGCAAGAGGGAGGCCACAGGCATTCAAAATTCCAGGGATTTGATTGTAGTTAATATATTTGATGGGAATGAGGCAGGAATTTATAAAAGGTTGGTCTTGATGGGGAACTGATCAAATGTTGTCTGGCCAGCAAAATAGACAATCCGCAATGGTTGAATTGAGGCGACTATGGATTCTTGACTGCCGAAGATGTTTCACATTGAATCCAAATGGCTTCTTTTGTTTGAAATTTGAAGTGTGGAGACTTCCAACGTATGTCTCCGGTAGGTTAGGAGTCAACTAGTCCTCCATCAAACATCTCCAGTTGGCTCCGATTGCTGCTGTATGCCTCTTAACTGGAACACGTTAGAGGGAGCACATAATACTGATTCTGGCCGCCCTCCACTGGCTAGTGACATCTTGGACTGACTTTTGGGTTTCAAACGCTTAATGATCCCCATATTCTGTTGTTCATCAATCATGCGTGAGAAGATTTTTTTTAACAATGCAGAGTATAGAAAGACAATCGATTTCCCATCAACAATGGAAAGGAAAAGTCGACATACTCCTGTTCAACTGAGTTAATGCGGATGCACAACTTTGGAGTCAGCTCGTTCTTGTCAAATGTCTCCAGTTGGCTTAAAATGCTGCTGTTCATCGGGGTAATCATACTTTTCCATGTGTCATGATATTTAGCTTTTATTTCATTCTGACTTTTTTGTTTTTAAAATTCAGTTAGCTTTAATAAAGTTTGTTAGCTAGCATTAGTTTTTATATTTTCCGAAAAATGATTTATGCTTTGACGTCATGTCATGTCATGTAGGCCACAATTATTTGCAACCCTATGGGCCCCTTTTTCAATAGAGTGGTGTCCGCACGCTCAGAGAAAAAAAAAAAGAAAAAAAATTCATTTTGATCCAGGGGAAGTTGAAAGTAGCATGTTTGGGCATATATTGGGCATATAAAGGGCTGAGCATATATTTGTATATATACAGTGTATATAAGCACTTTAGGATGTGATTTCTTTGGTCCTGAACATGTAGTTCAGATCACGTAGTATCAGGCTTTCCGCCTCTAGGTGATGGCCACGTTGACATATTGAATGTGCATGGTTGTCGACTGTCAAGTGTACGGTGCATGCTGATGGGAAACTCCGTAAAACCTGGAACTCTGGCGACACAAATGACATTTAGAAACTCGAAAAGGCCGTCGTGTGGGAAAGTCACATTAAAACTGCCACTCTGCAACTGAAATTGCCACCTGCTGTATTTGCCTCCAAACTAAAAGGGAATGAATACGAAAATGTGTTTTTGTATTATTGTCAGCTTAGAAATGACAACTGGGACAAATTCAGAGAGTTATGCTGACAAGCCATGAATGAATTTTAATGATTCTGCCTTTGTACACCACTGCAATAGACCTGAATAGAATTTTCAGTTTTAATTTCAGGCGCGTCACACAAAATGGCTGTCATTTCTCAGCGGTATACTTTATGCCATATTCTGGTGAAACCTCTTGCCACAATATCTTGTCCTCATTAGGCTTTCTCGCACATTCCAAAAACATATGTTTGGTGAATTGGACATTCAAACTTGAAATGTGCCCTGACTGGAAACCAGTCCAAAGTTTATCCAGCCTTTCATGTGCAGTCAGCTAGGAAAGGCTTCAATTCACCAAGGGCTCTAATAAAGACACTCTATAAAAAAAACAAAAAAACAAAACATATTACTATTACATAAATTGTAATTATTGTTCTTTTTTTACTAGTTGCAAACGTTTTTTTTTTCCATTTAAAAAAAAAATTTAAGGAATGAAAGTGTTTTTCATTAAAAACAAACAAAGAGAAATTATGCTTAAAATGGTCACACACCAAGAGCTCCCTGAGAAGAAAGACATTGAAGCATTTCATGAATGGTCTCTTCATGTTTTTTATGACAGGTGGTCTGATTCACTTCTAGTGATGTGTTATTTTTCTTGTCTAAATATGCCTTGGCGACCAGTCCAGGGCCCACCGAGCTTCACACCCCAATGACTATGAAAAGCTGATGTACGGGGAGGTTTTGCACAAAGAAAAACAAATCCTACTATACTGCACATATACAGCTCTGGGAACAAGAGGGGGAAAAAATATTTAAATCGTTTGACCTTTGTCCTTGTTCTGTAAAATTGACAACAATTATGTTTGGAATTTGGGAGTAGTGTTGTCAGCAGAAAATCGAATAAACCAAAAGTGTTCATTTATACTCAAACAAACCTATCAATTCCAAAATAAAAATCACAGATCAGTTTGCACTAATATCCTATTTTTTCTAAAGTTATGTATTTTATCAAATTACTGTAGATTATCAAAATTACAATAACTTAATTGCTAATTTGATAGTTTTTTTAATCATTTAAAAAAATCTGGATATTTTTGTTTGATTTTTTTTTTTTACTTTAAAGTTAAGCTGCAACATAACAAGGTGGTTAATAAATTAAAGAAAATCAACGCTACACTTCAATAGAATGCTAACTGTTTTAGTTCAGATCCACTGTGGTGGTACGCTTATAAAAAAAAAAAAAAAAGGCCCCAAATCTTTCAGTGACTGCTTGTTGCCTTTAGGTGGCAGTCAATTCCACAAGAGAATTTGCTGTCCAGCGAAACACTCCAGGGAGACTGACTTCTCTCTTGTGGGAGTTTTGGGCATGACCACCACAAGTTAGCAGGGACCTACCTGTATGAGGTGAAGTTGTCATAGGAGCCCACAGTGTAATGTCTAAACAGTCTTTTGGTGCGGTCCTCTCGAGTTTCTGCAAAACAAAACAACACCAACACAACGACATGAGGATTTTCATCTCCATGAACGGACACAGTGGTAAAAGCTTGTTAAGTCACAACATTCCCCCGGATTGCAGCTCAGCAAGCATCAAAGGGTGAACCTCGAGTGTGTGATTAGCTTTTTCTTCGGCTTGCATGTGATGCTCAGTCCAAGTGAAGGAGGAGCCCCAAAGAAAATCATGTGACAAGACTCCAGCACCACCAGTACATATTTGGAGTCTGTCCATCTTTTTACACTTTGCATGACACGTTGAAATGTTAACCGTCATCCTAAAACCATCAACTGTATGGTGAACAAAGATTTTATGTTGCTGACATTTTAACTTTGATTCTCCATGATTCCCATCAAGGAAAAGTGTTTGAAAACTTCTTTTTATACTTGTATGATATTTTAAAATGTGACTTGTTGCATGGCCTGCCCAGTCAAAAAAACATTTCGATACAGTCAAGTGTCACCGAAATAAAAGTACAATACATTTGTTAAGTACGGTTTGTTTTATTTAACTTTTAAGTACATTAACGTTGCATTTTCTATATCGGTTTCTTTGCAAACGTTGAAGTCAAATTTGAATTTAACTTATGCACAATATATTTTATTTAGATCATTGGTGTCAAACTCAAGGCCTGGGGGCTAGATCTGGACCGCCATGTCATTTTATGTGGCCCAAAAAAAGCAAATCATGTGTGTCAACTTCCATGATCCTTGCTAAAATCTATACCTAAATGTCAAATTGTCACATGTAATAAATAACTGAGATTTTGCAACAATTTTGTTACCCCGTTAACACTCACTCAAAACTATTATAGGTGATTGACTGATTTCAAAACTAGTGACTCCAAAGTTATCCGCGACAAAAGTGAATTTGACACCCCTGATCCAGATGATTAATGAAGTACTTATTTTTTCTATATTTAAGAGCAATGCTAATATTCAAACTGTACATAATGTTACAGTGGCTTACAACAATATAAAATGCATATATTAGAGTTCACAATTCGTTCTCACTGTATTTGATATTTCATCTGCCCTGTTTTCTACTACGCTGTAGTGGGATTTTAAGGTTGGTATTGGTCATTAAGCCTTTTTTTTCGGTGATTCTTAGTGTAAAAAGTTTGAGAACGATTGACCTATCACAATGAACCAGTAGAGTTTAACGTTTGACAGAAAGGAAGACATAGAGGCAGTGAACATACTTGACACATTTATCATGTTGTGTGCATGTGTGTGTGCGTATGTATGTGTGACAAAATATGAGCTGACTACGCTACCAAATTCTCCATTTCTCGCTCATGTCTGATACGTCATCCATCACCTCCTGGTGATCGTAGCGTAACATTTAGAATATTTTCTCTTGCGTCGGCTGTCACTTTTATTTCCTGTTTTGCTCCCTCAGAGAATACACGATCCACTTATCCACCTCTTTAGCATCTATTTGATGTGTGAGGATGGATGGATTTTAGAAAATAAAGATCTCATGCTCACATGATGGTATACAGCATGCAGGGTGGGACAAAAGTATGTATGCACTTTTGAGGAGGGACATGAAAGAAGGAAGACAGAAAGGAGGTACACTGCAAATCTGCTGTTGTTAATTTAACACCATGGTGTATATTTTAACACCGGCAAAGTTTCTACATGCATCCAGACAACGTGGTGTTAAAATAACATTTACTGAAGTGAAGAGGGAAAGAAGAAAATAAGAAAAAAGGAGGAAGGAGGTAAGGAAGCAAGCAATGCAAAAAATGAGGTTCAAATCATGGAAAGAAGGATCAAAGGACGCATAAATAAAAAGCGGGTCTGAGGGAAGGCGGGAAGAAAAGATGAAAAGAATGCCACCATATAGCAAAAGAAGAAGGCAGGAGAGATATCAGAAAGCAAGGAAGGAAGGCATACGCATCGTTTTAAGCAAAGAATAGAAAAATACAAAATGTTGTCTGAAGGAAGGTGGGAAGAAATGAAGGAAGGAATGCAGGAAAGTGAGAAGGAAGAAAGCTGGAAATAAAGGAAGACAACAAAGGTGGTCCGGAAAAGAATAGTATCATGTCTAAGATTGAAGATAAAGTCAAGCAGAAAAGTAGTTTTAAGCCACAGAAGGAAGGATGTAAGAATGCACAAGTAAAAAAAAACAGCCAGGACAGAAGGGAAGCAAAAGTTGTTGAAGAACAGGCCATTTAAATATCACACACACAGTCTAAACGTTGCCCTGTTATTTCTGCTATTGTTGGGGTTCTTTCTGCAAACAAAATGACAACACACACATGTAGCCTGTTTGAGACAAGAGTCACTGCGAGACACTCAGCGGTCGTTTGTACACGCTCGTTCTAGCGGAGGGCCACATTTATGACGGATCCTCTGCTGGACGTGCCACCATCTATGCTGTCCTTGTCTGAAGGGCACACGTGGCACGCATGCACACAGCCAGTCTCTGAACCCGGGGAATTAACCTACACTGTCTTGCTGTTGATAGATAAGAGCTGCCGACAAACACGCGTAAACACACACACACACACACGCACACACACACACACACACACACACACACATACACACACACACACACACACACACACACACACACACACACACACACACAC